TGGTTTGTGCTCTGATGTGCTGCTTCAAACGCAGATGCGCGCTGAACCCGGCGCAGTCGGAGACCCTGAGCCATGGAAACTGAACGACGTGCGCAACTGTATCCTAAGCTGATCTTCACTGGGAGATTTAATTCTGAACATGGCAGCCATGTTTATAAGGACTGTGCAGCCTGCATAAAGCAAAAAAGCGCAGAGACTCATGGTTAAATTGTGGTCGTTGTTTTTATGGATGTTAGAAGCAGGGAAAAACAATGTCAAGACCTTGGGCCAGCAATTCTCCTCAGGACACCCAACTGCATGCTGGGTGCTGGTAACTAATGGGCTCAACTGGGCAGCGATACAGTCTGTAGTCACCGTACTCTTCTTCTGCGGTCAGGCTGTGAATGAACCATAATGTGCAGACCTCTCAATGTGGAAAGCATGAATGGTTCTCCTGAGTGCTGAGTTTCACTTAATTTGCTCTCTCCCATGCAATGATGGGAAGTGAATGGCCAGACACACGCGACGATGGAGGAATGGATACGGATAGGTCCCATGATTTGCTGGTTCAATTACTGCAAGGCAACAGGGTAAATTTTCCAGAATGTCAATGGAAATCACCCTACAGAACAATTACTATTCATTCATGCGCTTTGTACTGCTAATTTATGCAGGGATACACCCCAGGAAAATATCACCTTTGTGTTTCTTACTCTCCTTATCCATTTCCTGTGTATCTTCACATAGAAAATAAGTTCATGAAAGAAATTCTACACATATGCATGCAACTAGCACAACATCAGAAAGTCCTGCACTTGCCGACACCTTCTGGTCAAAGGCCGAACTAATTAGCCCTTAAACAGCTGCCATGGCAATTTATTCCTAAGACTAGCACAGAATGGTATTATTAACAGAAAAATATTCCTTATTTCCCTTCATCCAATCATATACAGCCATTACTAGCTCTCTTCTGTTTGTGATTCAGCCGTGGCTGAGCTACTGTGCAACAATCACGATTATGTTACGTATTACATGCATATTGAACAACATTGCAATTTTTTTCGTCGCGAACACTGGCACATTTTTCCAAGTAGTCTCATCTCCTTCTGGGTCTATCTAATCACACACGCAAACCACTCAGATGGTGTGACACACACCAGTCGCTCCACCACACACACCTTCTGTGGTTTGCGGAGTATGGTTTTTTTCTACTATGCATATGATATATGGCTAATAATTAATAACAAAATACCCATCCACATTCATCCGCTAGAGGAAGAATAATCAATATCCATTCAAAATATTTGAAACGGAAGCAAGTGGTTATTTCATTTACGTTCAGTTTTTTTTATGGTGAGTGGGATTAATACACCTCCTGTCAGAACTAACACTCTTGAACGGCACTGGATGGTCTAAAATGTGTGCATACCTCTTCCTCCTCTAAATACCAGCAAAACCAGAAGCATGTTGAACAATGTTTTTAACTAATGTACCATAACTGTTGCATGTTTGCATAAAGAAACCCTGAATATAATATCAACTCTGGGACTCTTTCTGGGATGAAAGAAGCCACAATTAATTAAACACAATTAATAGCAACGGGGAAAATTAATGAAAATTCTAATGAGAATTTAGAGCAAGGTAAAATACATATCATAGGTCTCATAAATGTTTTGGTTGGCACAGTTCAGGAGGGCATGTTGTACTTTGTCATTAGCCAATTATAACCAGACGCCCCTCATGGCTGAACAAAAGTGGCACCGTTCCACCAAGGGAGGGCACTTTTTAATTGGTTGGGGATTCTTAACTGACTGCAAAGGCTTGGCCTCATTAGGCCTTCGGGCATCACTCTACCAGCTGGTGCTCAGCTCTCCTACACAGTGACCTGCGATCTGCTGGGAGGATCTGGGGCAGCTCTGGTGTTGTGAATGGGCGGGGAACACGTCAGCCTGGCGTTCGTTGCAGGCAGGGAATCTGCTGTCCGTTGAAGAACTTGGGGGGACGGGAGCACGATATCCTAAAATGAGATCCTTCCCAGAAAAGTACAGAGTCAGTTTTAAAAAAGGAATCTTTTAAAGAGACGCACGGAATGTTACACACAAAACCTAACCTTGTTTGAAAAGGCTGTGCGTGAGAAGTTGTTCATTTTTATGGAGAGGATGCTCAAGTCCAAAACACCCACATTCAGAAAATACTCACAGTTTTCAGAATCTCAGCATAAACCATAAAAGAGCAACTCCCATAAAAACCCTAACTATACATGTTTCAGCTGCTTCTGTAAATGTAGTATGAACAATACCAAAAGAACACAAAATGACCTACTCATCTACAATGTCATTCAAGACATAATGTACTAATGAAAAAATGTTATAGAAACTTTTTTTATGCTTTCATTAGTATTCAGTGAAATATGGAGAGGTCTACACATTAAAAGTATAATCACTGCAGGTAACAAGTTATCCGCCGCATATGGAGTATGATAAAACTACTTAAGAGTAATCATACAGTGTAAGACTTTACTCAAAGCTGTAATCTATAATGCATCATAGATACCTTCATAATGCTTTGTAATGGTCGGTATAAGAATTAATAAAGCATCACAGCATCTTCTATTAACAGTCATAAGGCATTATACCATTCATTATAATACTTCATAAGATCCAATGAAGCTATCATGTATAATGCACTATAGATACCTTCATAATGCATTATAATGGTTGGTATAAGAATTAAAGATGCTTTATATTGCATTATGAAGGTTTTTATAGTGCATTATTGATGAGAGCTTTATCAAGCATTCATAATGCATGATAAACATGGCTATAATGTGATGATCCTTTTTATAAGTATGTATAGTCTCATTTATAATGCTTCATGAATGTATTGTAATGTGTATGAATGTGTACAGAAAGTGTTATGGAAATATCTATTCTGCTTATACAACCTGTAAAGAGGAACACAGTAGCAATAGATTGTATCTGCAGTACAATGTTTCTTTCATAAAAGATTGTTAAAAATCCAGTTTGAAAAAAGTTGCATCCATCATTAAGCAAATGGCAGTCATAGAAAACTAATTTTTTGGGAATGATCAGAACAGATTCAAAGATTGAAAGTTCCTGCTGTTTTTCCAAGTTGAAAGACTTAAAGGATGTGGTTTTATATACCTGGATGATCCAGAAAGCCACTGGAATGGTGCTGCATTAGCATAAAACCAAGTGTTGTTATGAATAAATAACTAATCCCTATGGATTTGTTATCTGCAATACAGAGAAAACAGTGTGCAATATAAGTATGTTTTGCTCTGGGAAGTAGGAGGTTCTCTGTTCCTACTTGTTCACATCACAATTCATAAAGTAAGCACATCTACGTGTAACACAAAAGCTAGATTGAAAAGCGCAGTTTGCCTCTCCGAGGGGATGAGATAGGATGCAGTTACTTAAGGTTTAGGTTTGTTCTTCACCTTAAGCATTATGTCCTAGTGCACAAACAGAAAGAAATAAACTCTGGTTATGCGTCTCTTTCGTTTAACAGACACTTTTGTCTAAAGTGATGTATGAGCGGGAAAAGCATGGGGTCAGAGAGCAAGGTCAGCCAGCATCCAGTGCCCTCTGGGTTAAGGGTCCTGCTCAAGGGCCAAGTGGATATGATTACTGTCTGCCACGGGATCTGAACCCACAAACTACCGGACATAGACACTAATCACCAACCCAGTGAGCTACATACTATTTGATTAATTTAATAAATGACTTGTGTCTATCATGGCCCAAAACACACAATGGCATTATTATTATTATTATTATCATCATCATCATCATCATCGTGAATGGCAGTGTGTTACTCTTATGAAGCCACATCCGTGTTATTAAACGTATGTTTACGGTCTCCCGGCCTGTCATATATCAAAGGAGGACTCGAATATAAATAATTGAAGCCCTCAAGCAGGGTGACGAGCACTCTGTAATCTGCTCCCCATGAGATTAATTTGCGAGGGAGGCCTCCTGTGGGTCGCACAGCTCACCGAGAGAAAAATGTGATTGTCGATCAATGATACAAGACAGAATTGCACGTTCCCCCGGATGCGCGCCGTAATCGCTCGCGTTTTGTTGCCAAGCGAGGCTCTTGTTTCCAAATGCAATTTGGATCGAAAATATGCCTGAAGATCACCACGTTGAAAGTAAACTGTTTAACAGAAAATGAAGAAAGCAAGCCGAGGGAGAGGCAAGAAAGAGCTGCCTTTTAAAACTGGATACAAACGTCCGATCCGCGGCTCTACCGGCGTATTAAGGCTCTGGGTTTACAGATTAATGTAAGAGAAGCCGCTTCGAGTAGTTTTATATTCCGACAACGTCAATATACGCAGACTGAAAAGCAAGCTGAGGCAAAAGTATACTTATACTGGCAAATATAGATTTGTGGTCCTCGCTTGCCTTATTACTCTGAGATAGGAACATTGATATCATATTAAGCGGTGAAGAAATAGTGCTTGGCAATCCAACTTTTGCGCATATATTGCACAATCATCTTTTTTAGAGGAACACATCACCGTCGTTTCTTTCCCTGTTGCTTTTTTTCTTCTTGATCCAGCTCTCTAACTCAGATACATAATTACAAGTGCAGTTTGGTCACTGACCCACACGTTCGACTAAGAATCGCTCAATAACCTTATGAAGCAACAGCAACACCCAACTGAATACTGTACATCCCACACTCATAGTCCCCCCTTAGTCCAATATGATGTGGTTAAATATTTCAAATAAACATATGATATGAATTCATTCAATTTCCCTACGATGGTACTTCACTTGTGGACGCATTTGATCTGCACAATATAACTACCAGTAGATTAAAAACTGCATTAAAAGCCCCGGCACTTACTCACCCTTGCATATTTAGAAGAATACGGATCCTCAAAGAGTGCCCAAACCCGGGGCTGCCATCGCCGCCACAGTCCAGATTTGGCATCGGGAGAGTCCCCAAGCGCCAGTCTCCTAGTCATCTCTAGCTCGTCGTCGCCGTCAGCCGAATCGGCCATGCCGTCTCCATCCGCCTCTTCGTTGCCCATGTCGGGCGCTCCTCCACCGAAGCTGTCCAGGGCTTCCTCGGCGTCTCGGTGTTGCCGATAAGTCATCCAGCAGCATGGCTCCACGTCCGTCTCGTCGATGCCCCAAAACGCCAACTCTTCCTCGTACAGGGGCCCGCACACATCAGCCGGACAGTGCAGCTTGCCGGTCCGGTAGTAGTTAAGGATGTGCGCAAAAACGCCAGGATGCCGATCGAAGAAGAACTCGTCCACCTTGGGATCGTAGTCGAAGTGGCTGTGGGCATCGGGTTCGGCGAGCCAGGCGAGCCGGGTGCCGGGCAGCGTGCGCAGGGTGCTGCGGTACGTCTGGTGTCGGATGCCTCCCACGTTTATCACAATGCGATCGTTGTCGTCGCCCTGGCCCATTGCGCCCTTTAGGCATGTCTCGGATATGTTCCCGGCATTACAACGCTAACCCGACAAGAGGCAACGCTGAAGCGCCTGAACGACACATGCTTGGGGATGGGGAGGGGTAAGGAAAGGGATGGGAGAGATGAGCGACGGCTATAAAACTGAAAGGTGATGATGGGGAAACAAATGCGTCTCCCTAAAAGACAACAGCACCGGCAGCAATTACACAACAACAACAACAGTAGCAATAATAATAATAATAATAATAATAATAATAATAATAATAATAATAGGGAAACGTTTTTAAAATCAACAGAAAAATATCACGGACTGACAAAATAAGTGAATGAATAGCCGCTTTAAAATGATCACCAGCCTGTAGCCACGACAGAACGTGGGAAATTAAAACAATCGGGAAAATGTTATATCCAAGGAAAACACATAAAAAATAAAATGTATAAAGTATCCATTGGTCGAAACTGGGAAAACACGAGACATATACTCTCCCGTCACATAAATCCAATAACCTGGCTTTTAGTTACGGTTTAGTATAATATTGTTTCTATACCGCTGACATTCAATACAAGGTGACGCTCGTGGGCACATCTGCGCTCCTTCGTCCAGTTTCTCCTCTCGCTTTCGCCTTCCCTTCTCTTTATTTTTTAAAGATTACATGTCCTTTTTCCTTCCTTTTTTAGTTTTCTGCAGTGGGGACTATATGCAGTTTTTTGTTTTTTTAGTGCGCTGTTTTTATTAGGCTACTTTGTGTTGGTTTATTTGGTCATACCGTGAGCTGCAAATATAGCAGTCCAATTTTTTTGTTAATACCGGACCTCGTTTTACGTCGACGACGTTTTTCTTCACAGGTTTTCGTCTAGAAAACACGCTTCAAGAGACAATCCGGCATCAGGTGTTTTGCTGTGATTCTTAATATATGAATTCGCTGCGTTCACTTCACAGAAGCGTGTTTTTTTCCTTTCAAAATCCCACCATCCTGCAAAATGGCCAAGAAGCGAGCCGGAGTGCTGCCATGGGGTACATCAGAGTGTCAGTGATTTCAGGGATTTCAGACTGCTTTAAGAGCCCCCTCCTTCTCTTTTGATTCCCCCCGTCGCTGAGAGGCGCCACGGCAGGACCCGCTACCTCTAGACTCCCCCACCAACGCGCAGGCGCAGTAGCTCTACCGTTATTGATACGGTTTTTGGGATCGAATGTTCGCCGTTACTGGCGCCGTGACCTAGCACGTGAAATAAGCACATTACAATACGGCAGCTTTACATAGGTAAATATGTTGTATCATACACTATGCAGTGCTTTAATAATCACCAAGGATTAATATATAACCGTTTGCCGTTCATTATCTCTGAGTATATTCATGAATTATGTGGTTGTATTTGTCTTTGATCAGCATCCATAATTTAAATGTGCATATATACTCGTACTCATATCTTACTCATAATTGATGGAATTCCATCAAGCGACTTTATCTAAAATTACGATTACCAGCATATATTTGAACTTTGTCATGGATCAATCAATAAAGAAGCTTCAGTTGACGTGGATTATTGGAAGCTTTCTTGCTGTTGTCACCAATTCTGTAACGCGCCAAAATCTTATTACTAGGATCCTATATACCTTCCACCTGCTTATTCTACAGGAGGTCTGGAGCCTATCCCAGGCAACATAAGGCACAAGTGGGGGAAACACCCAGCATGACGTAACAGTACACCGCAGGGCATGCACACATAATATGGGCAATTTATAGACACCAATTAGCCCAACTGCACATCTTTGGATTGCAGGCGGAAACCAGAGTATCCAAAGGAATCCCACACAACATGCAGAGAGCATGCAAACTCCACACACACAAGCATCCACTACGCCACCATGCCGCCCATATTCCTGTAAGCACTGTATATCAATTTCTCTGCAACTCCCTACAATATGCAGCGGAAAAATATCTGATATACCGGTGGCAAAATTTCTTCCTCCAAATTTCCAAAACACGGATTATCTCACTAAACTTGAAAAATTTCTGTGAGGTTAAGATATAAAATATATACAGGTCCTTCTCAAAAAATTAGCATATTGTGATAAAGTTCATTATTTTCTGTAATGGACTGATAAACATTAGACTTTCATATATGTTAGATTCATTACACACAACTGAAGTAGTTCAAGCCTTTTATTGTTTTAATATTGATGATTTTGGCATACAGCTCATGAAAACCCAAAATCTCAAAAAATTTGCATATCATGAAAAGGTTCTCTAAACGAGCTATTAACCTAATCATCTGAATCAACTAATTAACTCTAAACACCTGCAAAAGATTCCTGAGGCTTTTAAAAACTCCCAGCCTGGTTCATTACTCAAAACCGCAATCATGGGTAAGACTGCCGACCTGACTGCTGTCCAGAAGGCCATCATTGACACCGTCAAGCAAGAGGGCAAGACACAGAAAGAAATTTCTGAACGAATAGGCTGTTCCCAGAGTGCTGTATCAAGGCACCTCAGTGGGAAGTCTGTGGGAAGGGAAAAGTGTGTCAGACAACGCTGCACAACGAGAAGAGGTGACCGGACCTTGAGGAATTTATGGGAGAAGGCCCGATTCC